CCATCCACCATCCATCCATCCACCCATCCATCTAACCACCCATCCACCATCCACCCATCCATCCATCCATATATACATACTCCTATCCACCCACTCATCCATCCATCCATCCACCCATCCATCCAACCACCCATCCATCCATCCACGCATCCATCCATCCATCCATCCACCATCCACCCATCCATCCATCCATCCACCCAGCCAGCCAGCCTTCATCCATCCACCATCCACCCATCCACCATCCATCCATCACCCATGCTTCATCCATCCACCCACTCGTTTCACCCAACTGCCCATTCTCCAGACCCCACTTAAACTACTAAGAGTGTGCTGTCCACTGCCTTACTCCAGCCTCTCAAGCAGTGCTGACACAGAGTAAAAGTGTAATAAACACTCGATGAATTGATCCTTTTGCCCGTCCATCCATTTACCCAGGCTCCTTCCCCACCCAACCCCCCCCAAAACAACCCACACAGATGAGGGGGCTTCAAAAAGCTCATGGAAACATGTAATAAAAAGAAAACAGAAACTCTCCTTGTACATTCACACCCAGTCTACTGAGCTTCAACTTTGCGCTCACAGTCCTCGTGCCTACTAACCTTTTCGTCCTAGTAAATGGTTTCTTTGGGAGGCACCTCCTCCAGGCAGCTTTTCATGATTCCTTCCTGTCCCAACAGAGGCAGAGATAAGGGCTCTTCTCATCGCTTCCATTTCTCTCGTCAGCACTTAGCCACATCTCACGGCCATCGAGTCGATGCCGGCTCACAGTGACCCTCCAGGTCAGGGTAGAACTGCGCCTGTGCGTTTCTGAGACTGTAACACTTTATGGAAGTAGAAAGCCCTGTCTCTCTCCCTCGGAGCGGCTGGTGGTTTCGAACTGCTGACCTTGCACTAAGTGGCCCAACTCATGACCACTATGCCACCAGGGCTCCCGCACTAAACTGAATTCCCCAAGGGCAGACACGGCACCATTCATTCCTGCGTCTGAAGCTCCTAACTCAAGGACTGGCATATAATGGGAGCCCGAAATGCCTGGTGGCGCACTGCACAGCCTTGTCACCCTATACAGACCTTGTCACAGGGAGATGGTAGGAGGTGGGCCTTGGTACGGGTACGGTTTTTGTCAGAGCTAGAGATGGCAGAAGGGGAGAGAGCTGAGAACACTGAATTCAAAGGTCAGGGTAGAACAGTCTCGGAACAGATGCTCAAAGTCCGCTAGCTACCCTGTTAGGATGATGTCAACCCCTCGCTCTCTCCCTACACGCTCCTCATCCTTCTCCCAGACTTAGGGCAGCTCCTATGAAGCCTCACTCACCGGGTATCTGTGCCTCGGGTCTTGGTGATGAACACTGGAAGTAGAAGCCCCAGTCAGAGAAAGGACTCTCCCCAAGGCTAGAAAGTGCTCTGAGCCAAAAGGGCTGGGGGACTTCCGGGCAGGTGGTGGGGAGTGAGGAGCAGGCTAGTGGGCAGAGAGCACCATGCACTGTAGGTCCTAAGCTGGCTGTGAGATGGGGAAGCTGGGCAGACGCCCTTGGAGAGGTCAGCGGTGGTTGAGAGGGGTCAGGGACTATGACCTAGATGTGTGGCAGGGACTCTGGACACGGTGGAGGGTGGGGTGGGCGGGGGAGGGGAGCCACCTTGCTTAGATATCTGAGTCCCCTGGTCTCTCATTTGCTTTTTCTTGGGTGGAACAGGGTTCATTTGGAAGCCGGCGATAAACAGAGCCTCATCAGTGAGTTCTGTGCTGATCCGGGTCAGAAATTCCTCAGACCGGGAGACAGAAATCTGGGAAAGAGAAGTCAGAAGTGGTTTAGCCTGGGAACTTCCACATGGGGGTGCTGGGCCTGGCAGGGAGCACTCTGGGGGATTTGGGGCTAAGGAACTGAAGGAATGAGTCTTCACATTTGACTTGGGAGGCGCTGGTCCTGGGGGCAGACATTGGGGACCTCAGGGTCCATGATGAGAACTATGGGGCCTGGGTGGGCCTAGGGCTGGGTGTGTGTATGTGGTTGTGTGTGTGTGTGTGTGTGTGTGTGTGTGTGTGTAGGTCTCAGGGCTGGGGCATCATGGCTCAGACCTGGGACCCGGTGCTTGGCCCAAGAGTTCCCCACTCCCTTACACTCCACCTCTAATGCTCCGGCCCTGCTCACCGGCCCTCCGCAGCACAGGGAGGCTGCCCCTTGGGATGGCCAGCTGCTCTTTTTATCCTCATTCTTGGAAGGTGTGGACGCCATCCCGCTGGGAGTAAGTGGAGCCTGTTTAGACAGAGAACCGCCCCCCCCCTCCTTCCATCCCCAGCCTCCTCCCAACACCATTCCACTCCGCTCCCCCCAGGTTTAAAGGACTGTAGAAGAACCACCCCGCTGTCTCAGCGCCCCCACGGTCTCCGATCCTTGGGGAGGAGGGCGGAGAGCTGGTGGGCACAACAATTCGCCTCCCCATTTCACCCCTTCCCTCCCTCCCAAGCCAAGGCTGCCCCGGACCTGGCAGATCGGTTGGAATCTTGGCAACTGCGCAGCAGGGGAGCTGGGAGGCTGTCAGGGGCCCCTGCGGCAGCTGTTCCTAGCGGGCCTGATGGCGGGGAGAGGGGAAGACAGGGGCGCGGAGGGGGGGAGGGAGGCTGGAAGGACAGGGACCCCGGGTAGTGTCTGCGAACATTCGGCAGCCCGGTTGCCAGGAAACGTATTAAGGGTTCTAGAACCAAAGGTGGGAATACTTTTCCCAGCATGCCCCGTTGCTTCCTCCCGCCTCCCCTCCACCGCGCTTGGGGTCCCTCCTTGGGGACGGCGACCCCAGCGCCAGAGCCTGGGGAAGATGGGAAACATCGCACAGGGGAGCCTCGGACTGAATCCTCCAACCACTAGGGGCGCCCGAGAAGCCGCCCTGCCCTAGGCCGCTCTCTCCAGACTCTCTAGCCGTCATTTCGTAGTCCGGGGCTGGCGAGAGCAAACGAGGCCAGAGCTAGGGGGCAGGGAAGAGCCCAAAAAAAAAAAAAATGTGGACTGTACCAAATAGCCTTGTCTCTCGGGGATGCAAAGACTTAAGAGGACAGAGTGTTCTCTCTTTATTCCCAGGAAGTCACGTTCTCCGCATTTAAAAAAGAAACCCAGATCTTTTACTATGTCTGTCTTTTGCCTTCGCATTTTCAGTTCTTCCTTTTGCTCGGTCTCCGCGGTTCTTCGCTCCCCCTCCCCCTGGACTTTGGTCTGAGCCAATGAAAAGGGGCGGGGCGGAGGGGGAGGAAAGGAGAAGGAAGCGAGCCCGTCTTAAAGGGACCGTAGCCATTCTTAAGCTCTTTTTACAATTTGGCAGCTACGAGTTCCGAAGGGTAGGTTCCGGGAAGCTGAGTACAGCTGGAGCCGCTAGGGCGGCCACTGGGCGCCGGGGCGCCTGCCCGCGGTTCCCCATCGGAAGGGCGGGGTGTGCACGCCCTCTGCGCCCAGCACACACGGGGCCGGCGCAGGCGCTGGCCAGCTGCGAGCTTTCACCTGCGGAGCCGGGCCCGGGCAGCGGGGTGCGTGCGCTGAGCCGGACCGTGGGATCGCGCTGCGGGGCTGGAACGGCCCTGGCACCTGCAGAACGGGCCCGGGACGGCCGGGGAGCCGCCGCGATGGCGGGCGAGAACATCTTCCTGTTCGTGCCCAACCTCATCGGTGAGTGCGGCGCGCGGCCCCGGGGCGACCCCGAGGGCGACTGGTCCGGGGCAGGGCTCTGATGCCCCTGCGCCGGTCTCCCCGTCTCCGTTCCAAGGTTATGCCCGGATCGTCTTCGCCATCATTTCTTTCTACTTCATGCCCTGCTGCCCCCTCACGGCCTCGTCCTTCTACCTGCTCAGTGGACTTCTGGACGCTTTCGATGGACACGCCGCTCGAGCCCTTAATCAAGGTGATCAAGAGCCTGGGGGGGTCCAAGGTGGGGGCGGGGGCTGGACCTGGAGCCTGAAGGGGTCTTGGCATTGGAAGGCCTGGCTTTGTAAGGAAGCGATTTGAGCTGGTTCTGGAGAGGTACTTGATGATTGTGATGTCAGATGGCAGGACTGGATGGCGGTGGACAGTGCTGAAGGCCCCCCCGGATAAGCATCCAACAAGTGTTTTCTGGGGATTTGCTGTGTGCCAGACACCAGCCATCCGGATCCCGGGAAGCATGCTTCCAGGAAGGGTGGAGCCGGAAAACATGATTTCTGGAGGGTTGACTGATTTTTAAAAATTTGTTCTCCAGGCTCACCTCCAAGACTTGCTTGGGACTAAAGTCTCTGTTTCTTCCTGGTCTCTGGGACTGATGGGTCGTAGAGAGAGTTCTTCCACCCCCATCCTGCATCCTGCACTGCTCCCTTCACACCCCCTGCCCGGCACACGGTGACACTTGCCTCTTGACCTCTCACCCAGCCCACATCAGCCTGCTGTCTTCCCCGGGCAGGGCAGAGTGGGCATTTTCAATCTACCGAACTCTAGCATCAGAGTGAGACACCCCTTGTCATGGGCACACAGCCCCTCAAACCCAGCCCCTTCCCACCTAATGGTCGTGATATTTCAGGGACCCGATTTGGGGCCATGCTGGACATGCTGACGGATCGGTGCGCCACCATGTGTCTGCTGGTCAACCTGGCCCTGCTGTACCCCCGGGCAACCCTTCTCTTTCAGCTCAGCATGAGCTTGGATGTGGCCAGCCACTGGCTGCACCTCCACAGGTCTGCTGCCACTCCAGGGTCCCTAGGGTGGGGAGCGCTTGAAGAAGGCACTGTAGTGGGATGGTGGGAGGAGTGAGACTGAGGCAGGGGTGGGGGCGTGGGAAACACAGGTCTTTGGGGTTGGCCACAGCCTTCTTGGGAAGTGTTTCATTTTTAGCCTCGGTTGAAGGACCCAGGCCAAGGCCCGTCCTTTTTGGAAATCGCTTCGGCCCTGTTCGCAGTTAAATGAAGCAATTCCTCAGGCCCTCTGGCTGGGTAGTCCAGAAACCCCAGTGCGTAGTCACTTCTGGGAAAGAGTCGGGGCGCTTTCGACTGTGGCTTTTGAACCGTGGCTGCCCCTAACTTGATAATCGTGTGGCTTTGGACAAGATACTGGTCATGTGTTCAACAGCCTGGTCCCTGCTGCCCAGGGTCAGTGTAGGGGTTAGATGGACGTTCGTGGTAACATGAGCTCCTGGCACAGCTGCCCCTGCTTTCTCCCTAAGCTCTGTGGTCCGAGGCAGTGAGAGTCACAAAATGATCGACCTGTCTGGGAATCCAGTGCTTCGGATCTACTACACCTCCAGGGTGAGCATCTCCACCCCTCCCTTCATTGACCCAGCTTTTGCCAAGTCCTGGGCATGCCCTGGTCCCCGGTGAGGAGCAGCGTACAGCAGAGAGGGACCGGCCTCCTTGTCTCCCTGGGAAGGAGAGGCCTGTAAGAGAAGGGCTGGTGGGAAGGGACCATGAGTGGTTCCCGGCATCGAGGAGAAGAGGAGCCTGGTGGCACTCCGTTGCTCCCACAAGGCTCTCCCTGCTACCTTCCCATCTGTGGGTTTGGGCTCCCGATTGCATTGTCAGCTGGGGGAGGGGAGGCCCACTGCCCCACCTCTTACCTAAGCAGCCTTTCTGCTGTTTGTGCAGCCTGCTCTGTTCATCATGTGTGCCGGTAATGAGCTCTTCTACTGCCTCCTCTATCTGTTCCACTTCTCCGAGGGACCTCTAGGTAGGAATAAGGGGGCAAGAGGGGTGGGCTGTGGTGGGATTGTGGCCTCCCCAAGGAGGCGACGGTCGTAGACTCCTGGGCCCATGCCTGGATCTCATTCCCTTTGTCTCTCCCCTGCCCTCTTCAACAGTTGGCTCCGTGGGTCTTTTCCGGATGGGCCTCTGGGTCACCGCCCCCATTGCCTTGCTCAAGTCCCTCATCAGCGTCATCCACCTGGTCACAGCCGCCCGCAACATAGCTGCCCTGGACGCAGCAGACCGGGCCAAGAAGAAGTGACCCTGGCACCTCCACCCCCACCCCCCAGCGCCCACTTGCCCTGGGAGGTCTCACTGTGCCACATGGCTCCCCGTCCCCTCAGAGGAGGTCCCGCTCTCACGTCTACCTACTGTGTCGTCCGACCCACTGGGACGGCAACCAGCCTCTCAGGTGAGGTCACACTCTCCCGCTCTGCGAACCCCAGGGGTCCCAGGCATATGGCCTCCACAATCAAGGAAAGATGCTGACGAGGCCACACCAGTGTGGGTGATGATGCCCCTGGGGCCCCCAGGAGGCCTGTTGGAGGAACGGTATTGTCACACCTGCTGGCTGGACCCCGGGGTCTGGCTGTACTGGAGATTTGGGGGGCACTTGAGTAAGGAAGACGATGTGAGGGGCTCAGTTCCCCAGAAGGCAGGGAAACCCTGACCAAAGGAAGTCTGGGTGTGTATGTGGGGGCGGGGCGGGGTAACCACGCCCAGAAGAGAAGAGGCTTCTAGATCCTTCCCCGTTGCTGTCTCTGCACTGCCTTCCCGGGCCCTGGAAGCCTCGACAATAAACGTGGGAGCTTCACTCTGTGCACTTGGTTCCTGCGAGGTGCCCGGGTTGAGGGGAAATGGAACTAACTGGCACCCAGTTTGGTGGCTGGCTCCCCCAGGTCATTTCACAGTACCCGCAAGGGCCTGTTCTGCCACCCAAGCGCATGCCCTCGCCTCGCTCCCTGCCTGTTTCCCCGATGACACTGTCAGTGCCAGGAGGATGCCGACTCTTCTTGTGCTCTGTCCCCAAATGAAAGGAGCCCTGGCAGCATCGTGGTTATGCTTTGGGCTGCCAGCCACAAGGTCAGAGGTTCGAAACTACCAGCTACCTCGAGGGAGAAAGACAAAGCTTTCTACTCTCATAAAGGGTTACAGTCTCAAAACCTCCCTGGGGCAGTTCCACCCTGCCCTGTAGGGTGACACGGAGTCCGTGGGAGTGGGTGTGAGTCTCCCACAATGAACACCGACCTCCTAAAGTAGGCATCCAGGAGCAGCTTCGTAAATATTTGTCAACAGACTGGTTGGTTCGGCGCCATGGATGGGCCCAGAAATCGGTAATGTGAAATCATTTTCAGCACCGACCATCTACTAAGGAGCCCTAGGGACATCGTGGTTACCAGTTGGGCTGCTAACTGCAAGGCCAGCAGTTCGAAACCACCAGCTGCTACGCGGGAGACAGAGGGACTTTCTACTCCAGTAGAGTTCTGTCTCAGAAACTCACAGGAGCAGTTATGCCCTGTCCTATAGGGTCACAAGGTTGACTTGATGGTGGTGAATTTGGTTTGGGTGCTCATATATTCTAGGCCTTATGAAGCCCTGGTGGTATAGTGGTTAAGCATTGGACTGCGACACCCATGGTCAGCAGTTCAAAACCACCCGCAGCTGCTCTGGAGAAAGGCTGAGGTTTCTAGTCTCTTAAACAGTGACAGTCTCGGAAGCACACAGTGGCTGGTTGTGTTTGGGACATTGGTCCTGAATAACTCCTGCTATTTGAGCCTCTCTGCGGCCTGGCACCAGTTTTCTTGCCGAGAACTACCAGGTCTGCCATCTGCCAGATGGGGGGGAGGGGGGAGACCAGTGTCCCCCAAAGAACAGAAACTTAACCCAATGTGTATGGGGCCTGAGCTCTTGTCTTGGGCAGAGGGGGCTTGGTGCAGAGCCCTGCAGCTTCCAGCAGCGGGCTGGCCCTCTTGGGAGGCTGAGTCATGAAGAAACAATTCCGATCCGGCAGGGAGTGGAACCCTCATTTCTGGCGAAGGGGGTGGGGATCCTAAGCACCATAGGGATTCAGCAGGGAAGAGCCAGTAGAGGAGAGAATTCCCAGCTGAGGGAACAAAGCAGGGAGCCCAGAGAGCACCCAGGGAAGCAGCGGGAATGGAAGTAGACGGATTTCCGCTGGAACGTTCTGTGCTAGGGGTGCGGTGAGGCTCTGAGAGGTGAGGCAGGAGAAGCCAGCGGGGCCGCCTGAGGAGCCTGGGAGGTCATTGGGACATTTTCCTGAGGTTCTTCGCACTAAGCTGTTGGAGGGGTGGTGGTGGTAAAAATCAGTGAATCATCCGTCCCACAAAGGAGCCCTGGTGGTGGAGTGCTTTCACAGGCTGCCCACCACAGGGTCAGCAGTTCAAAACCACCAGCTGCTCCTGGGGAGAAAGGAGGCCTCCTACTATGAAGAGTGACCGTCCCAGAAACTCGATGGCAGTGCGTTTTCCTGGAAAACTTCACAGCAGATGGACGGATGGATGACAGAAATGCCTTTTCCATCAACCTCTCTGTGCCCCCGCCCCCCCGCCAGGCAGGCACACTAACCTATGTATCTGTCTGAATAAATGCCTTATGTCTACACCCAACGATTTACATATTTCAAAATTCTATCTTTTTTACTACTAACAAGTGCCGCTGTTCTAAGTGCGGCTCTGTAGTCTTCATCCCAGAATTATGGCATGCTCTCAATAGTGCAGGAGAAAGCAGGCCTTCCACTCCCAAGAGTGGCCGTCTCAGAAACCCAGGGGGGCAGGTCCACCCGTCCGGCAGGGTCACTGGGGGTCAGTGTAGACTCGAGGGCAGAGAGGGCTACAATCTTCCATACACTGCATTAGGATGCCTCCTCCTCAGAGCAGACAGGAAGCTGATACCCCTGAGAATATCTCAGCCTGGCCAGTTTGGCTCCGGAACCTGCTCCCTGAGGGCTGAAGACGCTCACTGGTGCTCTCTGCATAATGGCTGCCGCGTGGTCTTCTGTTAATTATTTAACCAGGCCCCACTGCTGCCGTGAAAGATGCCACCGCAAATCATCTTGGATGTCTTTTCAGGGGCGCACTTACGCCTGAGTGTGGAAGGGCTTTTAACAGAGCAGTGGCAGGGACAGGTTTGTGTTTGAGAAGGCTAATACGCCAAGCTGAGCTTCTCCCACTTCCACTGAGCCCCTAGCTGACCTGAAGCTCCCGGTCAAGGTGGGAGGCAGGAAAATGGGCAGCTTGCTTCCCTCCAGGGTGGTGGGGGAAGTGCCCTCCCAGTTCCTGTCCAGTAGTTCTTCCTTTGTCCTCAGCGAGTCAGCGCTTCCTGTCCAGCCAGCTGGGTCCTGGGAGCCCTTGCCCAAGGCCAAGAGCAGGGGGCCCTGACTGCCCTTGGTGCCATCCACTCACAGTGACATCAGAAGTCTCTCACTTAACCCAGCTGCATATGGGTGAGCTAAAAAAACAAGGAGGGAGGACTTAGAGGGGAGAGTGAGTACCTGCACCCAAGCAGTATATGCCCTGGGGCCTCCAAGGCACTGAGAACCCCAGGAAGGGTTTTGGGGCCCCTCTCCCAGGAACAAGGACTGGAGGTTAGACTGGTCTCTTCTCTCCTATGCCCAGTGATTGGACGCAGCTCTGGAGGAAGCAGTAAGTAACAGACTCTGTGTTGACAGGGCAGAACCTGTCACCTCTTGGGGGGTTGGGGTAGGGAGTCAGGTTGGAGAGCAGGAGGCGTTTGCCTCCTGGGGGCACTAGAGTTTAGTGGGGTTACATGTGCATTCTAGATTTCAACTCTGCTCTGGACAGGAGTCACCTTTTGTTGTTCCATGCTGTGGGAGTTAGGTTTATTTTGCCAACTAGGCCAATAGGAACATGTGGGCGGAGTTTAATCAGGTCAAAGCTTGATTGGAGGACAACCAGATAAATAGCTTTCAAGCCCCGCCCCTTCCCTCTTCCTCCCTGGTGATTGGACCAGTGCTGCCGCTTTAGCTAGTTCTCTGCCTCCACCTGTGTGCTACACTACCTGTGGGCCAAGCCAACCCGTGGATCACGTCTCTTGAGCTCGAGGATGAAGGATTCTTTGGCCATGAGCTGGAGATCGCCTTAGGCCTGCCTGACTAAGCTCCTGAACTACTGACCATTGCTGCCCCACCCTGCTGCCTGTGGGCAGACTCTGCCTGACTTGCCTGAGGGAAGATTCCTCCATCTGCTTCCTTGACCTTGGACCAGGCAGCCCTTGTGAGTCGATGGACTTCCAGCATATTAACTGTTCCTCGAAGGTGAGTTGAACTGAGCCCTCTGTACTGTTGTGTGGACTAAATAGCCGTTATATTCCTTCTCGCTGGACAAACCTATCCTCTTATATAATCATGTGCCCTGGTTTTGTCTCTAGAGAACCCTGCCCAACACAGGTGCCATCAAGTCAGTTCCTACTCGTGGGAACCCTGTGCCCAACAGTACAGGATACTGACCGGGTTGCACCCTCCTCACCAGTGTTCTTACATCCGGGCCCTTGTCGCAGCCACTGTGTCCATCCATCTCATCCAGGGCCTCCCTCCTTTTTTGCTGCCCCTCCACTTTACAAAGCACGATGTCCTTCTCCGGGAAATAGCCTCTCCTGCCAATACATATATTGTTCTTGGTAGGGAAGACATCAGCACCAGACTCCTCCCATGCTGGACTCCACCACTGTCACACGGTCTCCAAGACTGCCACCGGCGGAGCCTGGAGAACTGCACGTGGCAAGTGTTGAAGGGCAGGCATGCCGTCAGCAAGTGTTACTTCCACTTGGATTCCTTTGGTTACAACTCAGTCCCCAGCCATGTGCAAGGAGGTTGAAAATATAGACTTATGTGTGGGCTTAGGGAGAAGAGAAAATAGATTTCATAAATAGCATCTGATCACACTGTGAGTTTGCTGCTTACAGCCATTGGTTTATCTTACAAAACAGGCCCTTAAACAGAACATTCCTGGAGCAAGCTGCCCAAGGAAGGCCCTTGCCCTGCTCAGTGGGAATCGCAAAGCAAGAAGCCAAACTCACCACTCACACAAAGATTTACGAGACAAAAGCACCTTGCAAGGTGTGGTCTTACATAATCTGTTCCCAATTTGAGACCATTAAGGGTGAAGGGGTAGAGCTTAGCATGTCAGTCAGGTTGCAGCTTGATGACCTCATTTGGAAGCTCTACGGAGATAAACAGCTCGCTGGAGGTAAGACAGAGACACTCGCTGTGAGACATTCCTGTGGACAAGATACATGGAGCTATGCTAGAGCCCTGGAGCTGGAGGAGCCACGTGGAGACCCCTGCCAGTGACTTGATCCACAAGACTTCCCACCCACTGGCCTGTGATCTTCCTGCATTCAGCGTCATTGCATGCATTTCGCGAGACTGAAGAGGACTTTATAGATTGGTATTGGACATATGGGCTAATATCAGACTTACGGACTTGATCTGGACTGGGCTGGGAGGTTTTCTCAATATTCAATTGCTCTTGTATATAAAATTCTTTCTTATACACATATGAGTGTCTCTGAATTTGTTCCCCTAGTCTACCCGGACTAACATACAAGGGGGTTGCTGGCTAGAGAGGCATCTTGCAAGGACAGACATGGGGTGGGGAGAGAGCCAAAGGCAAGGCAGGACCCCATCAAGTAGAACAAGGTAAAGAGAGAGGTTTTGTGGGAGTTCCAGTGGGGAGGACGTTCTGTTTATTTGTGAAAGGAGGTGCAGAGTTCCGGGCACTGAGTTCACATGGGTGGTGGGACCATAAATGGGAGTGCTAGCGACAGGTGTTCACT